CTGTCTTGGTAAGGACAAGTTTTTGTGACAATTCAGTAAAAGTACTTGTCACTGGGAGGTTTCTTCTTCTGAAGGTTTGCTGCTTTCATGTGTACTGCTTTACAATATTAACACATATGAGCAGGTCCTGGCAAAATGGGGTAGCAGGTTTGTTGTTTTAAAAAGCATGTATTTTGCAAGCTCAAAATGCCTTTCTAAACTGTTTTGATTAATGAAAACAATAGAGGGTTTGTAGTCTTTAAAGGGCTTTGTTTTAAATAGGTCTAATAGCTAGAATATTTATATTAATGTGTTTTGTTTCCAGGGTTCCTCTCGATCTGTTGTGAATATGGAGTGGGATAAAATTTGGTCCTTTAACAAAAAGGTACGTGCTTACTTGAATTTGATGCTACTTCTGATACTGTCTTTCTGGGATATGTAGAGAATCCAGCATTCATTGGAGTGCTTATCACAACAAGTAGCAGTTGCAATATCTTGCATCATTTAGCCCACTTTCAGGAAAATGGAATGTCTCCCCCTTTCTAACCTGATCTAGCACTAATCCTATTGATTCTCCTATACCAATACTTACTTGCCTTACTTAGTAGTATGGGGAAAGATAACAATATTTGCTGTAAAATCTGATATGAAAACTGCATTTCATTTTTCTGCTTTCAAGCTGCGAGCTATCTGTAAGAAGGTATTACTTAATGCTTTTTACCTTAGCATATAGCTTACAGTGCTGTAAGCACACATAGCATAAGCTATCATTTTGCAGCTTCATAGCACAGTCACATTTGCTTATATAACAGGAGCTCTACAAACCCACTGAAAATGCATTATTCCTAGTTTTAAAAGGCTGCCCATTTTTGGTTTGGCTTATTTGTTAACATAAACACAAATCTTATTCAATTTGTTTCACGTTGGCCCCTTTTCCCTTCTGTGGCAAAAGGACTAACAAGCTGGGTATACTGCCTATGTAGATAAAGCCAGCACTGCTGATGTTTCTGACTGAATGTCAAATAAGGAATATTGCATCTTGACATGGTTAGTCGCTTTCTGGCAGCGGATGCTTGGACACTATAATAAGGCGAATTGTTATAATGCTGATTGCATATTTTGTGTGATTGTGGAAACACCTGTTATTTTGCATTGGGATTCCTGCTTGGTTTTGCTTAGATAGTACCCAGATCTGTTCATTTACGTAGTTTTTGCTTGTCTGGCATGTGTCTTGTATTTCTTCATGTATTTTGCATTTAGTCTGCTACATACACAAAGGTTTATGAATTGGTTCTTTCTGTTGCTGCATAAATATATTTATGAGTAACAATTGGATTTTGGGCAAAAATCCACAATAGACTGTCAGGGCTCATTTTTTGAATTGGCTTTTAAACTGAGTTTCTTAGACCTCTGACTCAACTCCTTGGACAGCACCATATTTATTAGCCAATTTTATTTACATGTATCTGTGCAGATAGTTTGCAATCTGCAATATGAGCAAAACCAATTGGTTGCATGCAGGTAGTTCTGAGCTCAAAGACTTGATCAGTGTGAGCGCTCTTATTTTATATCTTAACCTGTAATTATGCTACTGACTTTTTAACACCTGTCGTCTGAGGAAAGATTGGAGTTTTAATGAGTAAAATAAAGAGCCTGGTAATAATATTGTAGAATTCAGTCATTTAGTTATTACAATTATGATACTAAATCTCACACCTATATTTTTAGATAAATACACAAGTCCTTTTTTAAAGTATGTGACTAACATTCAGGATTCTGACTTCAGTGATTATGAACTTAACAAATGTGTGACTTCTTAAAAGTATATCATGATATCGCCTTACTTGCTAATGTCAAGTAATTAGACGCTAAATATTTTTTTCTAAAATTGCTGTGTAGTTTTTCAATTGAGCAGGAATAAACTAAGGAGAAGAAAAGTCATATTAATAAAAGCAGGTGTTTTCCTTTGTGTTAGTTTCCAGTTAAACTGGTAGATTTCTGATATTCCTTTTCGACCTAGACAACTGTTTTACTTGAATTAATTTTTAAGTGCCTCTGAACAGCTTGTCAAAGCAGTATTTCAGGTGTGAAAAATGCTGTGAAAAACTGTATCAGCTGAGTTTGAAAATGGACAATAAAAATATAGGAAGACATTTTAGTGGTATCTTTTTCTTGCCAAACTCATGTTGTAGAAATCCTGATGAAGTCAATGTTATGGTGTTGCCTTATTATAGTATCTAATGCGTCTGTATTAAAATTGCAGACTCAATTGGTGCTTCCTCTATGGCCAGGTCCATCCCTGATTCTGCTGGAGTACTGACCTGGAAAATGAATATGGGATCAGGTCTTGCACTGCTGGAAAAAGAATGAACTGCACTGATAAATTACTGCTTTAAATTCAGCTACCTAGAGAGAAAGTGGTCCAGATGTATTAGTCTATGTGCATAGTAAAACTGTATCAAAGTATGTTTTGCTGTCTTCCCTCTGAGGTACTAGCTCTTAATTTTGGTTACTTCTTGTGTCAGTAGTACCCAATCCGTAGTGTTTACTCAAAATATTTCAGTAAAGATGGGAAACTCTGAAGTATTACCACTGTTCTCTCACTTTTCTATAGCTTTGGATTAAAATAACATTAAAGCAAACATTAAAAAATGCAGTAACATAAAGAATACCGGTTAATATTCCTTTTTGGTGGTGCTTGTTTTAAACAGCATCTTATTTCTCTGTCAATGTCATACATTTATGATCCCCCTCATTTATTGTCTATAGGTTATAGATCCAGTAGCGCCTCGGTACACTGCTTTACTGAAAGATGCAGTGGTCCCAGTAAATATTCCTGAAGCTGAAGAGGAGATGAAAGAAGTGGCTAAACATCCAAAGGTTCTCACTTTACTCTCTTAATATTCTTGTATTGCAGATCAGTAAGGTTGGAAGTACCTTGGCTTGGAGCAGTCAGCAAGGAGAGTCCTGGTTTTAACTTGCTCAGACAGCATGAGATAAAACCAAGGTGTACTTTTTTCACAGAATTGTCAGAAAGTGGGCAACTACTGAACATGTTCTGTTAAGAGGATGTGGGAAACTGCTTTTGTAAATATATAGAGAGCAGATAGACAGTGCATTGAAAGGCCTTTCTGGGAGTTTTCAGATGAGGCGAGATGTTACAAGTATTATTGTTTGATACTAATTTTGACAGAGAAATTTAAATATAAAATTTTAGTCAAGCTTTGAGTATAATACAATAGATACTGCTTATCCATAAGAGTGTGGAATGCAGGAGATGTTTTTAAAATAGTTTATAAAATTAGACTTGCGTAGAGAAGTGATATATTAACCTGTTAATTCTACCAGTCTCTGGATTTTTTAATATGACTTTTAAATTCAGATAGCAAGTAGTTATTATCAAAAGTTAAGAACTTGCTAATTTGATACTCTTAGTATCCAGTAAACAGAATAATATCCCTTAAGAAGGGGGATGTCTTACCGATACAATTCTTTTTTGGCACTACAATTGGAAAGATGCTTTCCTTTGAGTGTGGCATCTCAAATTGTACTTAAGCTTTACTGAAAGCATCCCTTAGATATCACACTTATACTGAGAAACAAGTGAATATTGTTGAGGTTTTGCTTCATTTATTTGTTTTTATTTTGTTGCTCTGAGTGGTGCTATAGCCATTTCTTGTAACTGAGAGGTGGACATCTAGTTTGCCCTTTTCCCTGTGGCAGATAAACAAGGAAACAGGTTTTGAGCAGGTGCAAGTGAGAATTGTGACTCTTAAAGAGTCAAAAAGTCTGAAGTTTGGTCAGATGCAACCCAGCATATTGAAACATTATCATAGAATCATAGAATTGTTTAGGTTGGAAAAAACCTTTAAGATCATCCAGTTCAACCATTAACCTAACACTACCAAGTCCACCACTAAACCAATTCAGGGTACAGTAATAATTTCACGTTTCCTGGCTTGGTGGCTGCATAATTTTTTAATGAAAGTAAAAACTAGGAATCATTAAGATTGGAAAGGATCTCTAAGATCATCAGTCCAACCATCAACCCAACACCACCATGCCCACTAAACCATGTCCCAGAGTGCCACATCTACCCATTCTTTGAACACTTCCAGGGATGGCGACTCCACCACCTCTCTGGGCAGCCTGTTCCAATGCTTGACTACCCTTTCCGTGAAGAAATTTTTCCTAATATCCAATCTAAACCTCCCCTAGCGCAGCTTGAGCCCATTTCCTCTCATCCTATCACTAGAGCCCAACACCCACCTCACTACAACCTCCTTTCAGGTAGTTGTAGAGAGCCATAAGGTCTCCCCTCAGCCTCCTCTTCTCCAGACTAAGCAATCCCAGTTCCCTCAGCTGCTCCTCGTAAGACTTGCTCTCCAGACCCTTCACCAGCTTTGTTTCCCTTCTCTGAACATGCTCCAGCACCTCAATGTCTTTCTTGTATTGAGGGGCCCAAAACTGGACACAGTATTCCAGGTGTGGCCTCACCAGCGCCGAGCACAGGGGCACAATCACCTCCCTGCTCCTGCTGGCCACACTATTCCTGATACAAGCCAGGATGCTGTTGGCCTTCTTGGCCACCTGGGCACACTGCTGGCTCATGTTCAGCCGGCTGTCAACCAGCACCCCCAGGGGCCTTTTCGGCCAGGCAGCTTTCCAGCCACTCTTCCCCAAGGCTGTAGCGTTGCATAGGGCTGTTGTGACTGAAGTGCAGGACCCGGCATTTGGCCTTGTTTAAACCTCATACAGTTGGCCTTGGCCCATCGATCCAGCC